GGATAAACGGGGGGAGGAAGGGGGTGAAATTGGTGCGTAGCTGAACACAACGAATCGATTGGAGGAGGAAAGTTAAACTTTGGGGTTGGGAACATGTGGATCAGCGCCTTCAACGCTGGCAACGATTCTCATCCAAAACACACGGGACGACATGTGCTACGCACGTCTTCAGTGCCATATTCCGTACTGCCGCCGCCGTCGTTGGCAGGATTCAACCTAACTTGGGCAGAGTTTTTGCCCTCTGAACGAACGGCTATATGTCACTTCCCATGCTTCCCGGTTGCTGCTGAAGATACTGCTAGTGCCAGTGAATACTATCGCCTAAAGCATGTCTCGCGTGTCTGGCGGAGTCAGCGATCCCCAAACGTATCGGCACTGGTCGCATTCCCGTTTAACTTCAGGGATGCGTACAAGCGGCGTGTGCATCTGGATGGAATTGTGTCGTTTCACACCTGATCGGCACAGTGTAGGAGGATGGGGCGACTCTCAGGCTAACGTCTTATGGTCGGGCATTGACCCCTGCCTTGGAAATTGTGCCATCGCGTGTCGAACCTATGAGACAATAGTTCCGCAACCGCGTCGGTCGAAACAGAGATGGGTTGCTAACGCACAACTCATCGTCGCAAGGCGCACCCTATTGTTGGACGTGCCGATCAAACCTACAACTCGAAAATGACGCAATGAATTTTCATTTCAGCTGCCGTGAGGGTGGGGTTACAGCACGGTGCTTGGGTATCGTACTCTGTTGTAGGGAGAGGAGGATGGGGGGTCGGGTGCCAGGTTGCAGAACCACTTTATGCATAGGAACAGAAGCACCAATTGACACCATCCGTCCATGTGAGTGCAGCGCACGACGTACAAACAACTACCAGCGTGTCGTTCCTGCCCCCACTGATATCTTCTCCACCGCACTACACCTTCCTCTCTCTGAAGTCAATACCTTTGGGTCGAATTCCATCGACGAACACCAAGACGTTCGCGTCGGGTCTGTTGAAAATGTCTCCCGCCGGAAGGCCGGCCTCTACCTCCGCGCGTGCGTCCAGGCTCATCACCCTCGCGATAGCGGAGGAAAGGACCTGGGGTGTGATCGTAGCCAGCCTAGAGCTAATCGTGGACGGGGCGTGCATCACGGCATCCTCGCCCTCGGCCAAGCCGTGCTGCACAAAGGCGACCTTCGAAGACGGCGCTGCGGCCGCCCACACCCCTTGCCGTGATCCGACGAGCGCCAAGGCTGCTGCCAGAAGTGGGGTTCTGCCTGATCTCGCCATGCTGCCTTGACGGCGTATCTCGACGAAAGAGGCACACGCTACCTCCTTGTATCTATCCTTTCTCGCCCAGCACAAAAACAAGACGCGCTCTCTCTCTATCTCTCGCTCTCTTTCTCTCTGTCTTCCGGTCCGAGCTGCAGCAGGTGTGCACAGCATCTGTGCGTGCATTGGTCAGAACATCACACCGCAATAACAATGGCGGGGGGGCGTGTCGATTTCGGCGAGAAAATACATATGCGGAGCCCCCAAGTCGGGAATGTGGTGGGTTCACCACTTTCCTGCCGCTGCTATCATCTCTCTTTGCTGGCTGATCATGCACGACTTCTGCCTTACTATCCCTTATGGGATGATTGTGATGTTTGGGGGAATCATCGGTTTCCTCGCAGCGGGCTCGAGAGCTTCTCTAATGGCGGGGGTGAGGATCGACTTTGTTCTCAACAAAATTACGCCGCATTTAGTTCTCTGTCGGATCTCGGGACGTAAGACATTAGGGAGCAGTGCTCTGTAGTTTGGCAGTATCCTAGGTGTGTCTCTCTGTGTGACTGTTGTTATTGAATGCCGTCCTTTTAAAGCGGTACTCCTTTCCTTGCTTGCGCGCCCTCAGTTTCTCCAATTCAGCTTACGAATTTGGAAAAATTGTGTAGCTTGCCCCGTTCGCCAGTCTCCCGGTTGCTCTCTTTTATCCATACATACGAGCAGGCCTCTTTGTTGCTCGGGGGAGCTCCGGACGGCTGTTTCCTTTTCATTTGTAGACCAAAAGTGTGTTCAACGACGTCGAAAACGCCCTGGGTTCCCGTTGATGGGATACCTATTCAATCTACAATAGCAACGTTTTCGGCTCCTTTCAACCTGTGCGCCTTCCCACTGATGGTTGGTTTGCACAACTTCTAGGCCCTCCCCTCTACAATACTTTATTCACATTCGGGGGCAGATGCAGTGCTGTGTGTTGATCCATTGGAGGAGGACATGTTATTGGTCTTGGACTACGTCGCTGGAGCTCCTTTTTTTTGTTTTCTCTTCCTCATCCAGCACGCCACGTTGCTGTCTTCGCAACGTATTTCGTACGGCTATGTGTTTGCGCCTACCTCTCGTCGGCGGGCATACTGTAACAGGGCGGAAGCGGGGCGCTCCTCATGCTTCTGGGTTACGGAGGGTAAGCCCTGCTTTACGTACATGTACACGAGCTTGCAAGAGATTGAGCGTTAAACTTTCTCTGCAAAGAGTCGAGAATTTTCCTTTGATGCCATGCTTCGTGTCATCTTCTTCTCTGGGGTCCTGGTGCCTATGTAGCTGAACACTCCGTCGGTATTTTCCGTCTATTTAGGATGTTCACACGCAAGAAAGGAATTCATTGGCATGCTGTGTGATGGGTAGTTTTCGCCGTGCTGTTATGACACTGTAGGTAATGGGACACCACGCCTATAGTTGCCTTTTTTCCTGAGGCCGTATGATACTCAACCAAGGAGAGGACCATGACACAAGAATTTGAAGTAGCGCAGGGCTTGCCTGAGTACATCCCGAGGTTTACAGCGACCCAGAGAAGAAGCAGCCGCGCAAGAGGCCGTATGGTAATTTCCTTTCCCGATGTCCAGCTTCGCTACATCCCTACTTGACCACGAACAGCAAACGTAGCCAGTTGATATCCCCACCCATGCCCCTGCAGCCCCGAGAGCCATCGGAGTTGGTCGTCCCTTGGCAACGACGTTGTAAATCACGCCGATCGCTTCGTGAGTTCGACAACCAGGTTAATTTTATTTGCGGTAACCATACTGTTGGTCGAGTGAATTATGTTGGCGGGGTCGAGAACCCTCACGCCGCGCAAAGGGGATGGTTGCACCACGTTGTGTTATATTGGCCAACCACCCTCGAGGCAGTTACACAGTGCTCGTAAGTGTCTGTGGAAGTGAGCACCAGAAGAGAACGTACGTCATTTGCAGCTGTCGTCTGTATGCAAGGTAGTAAGCGCAAGACGCCGAACACCTGTAGCAGGATGCGGCGCACCCTCCATGCGACTCGCCGAATACCTCACCGCGCTTCGGGCTTGGTGATGTGAGAGCCTGGTCCGGTGAGAACCTGGCGTGCTCCGTCCCGGCTTTGTAGGGATGCGGTCATTGGTCTTACGACTACGACATGCACGACTATAAGCACCCCCCCTCATCGCATTTGACGTCTCTTAGCGTTGCTTCTTTTTTTTACCCGTCAAACAATAGCCTCGACTGCATCATCGCGATCGTTCTGTCCCGCCACACAGGATTATGTGGGCGCTGCTGGCCGCACTGCGGCAGACACTTATGCTGACTTGCTCCTGCCTACCTTGCTTGACCGTATGTGACGCATTTCCCCCCTTGCGGTGTCTCGGTTTCTTGGTTTAGGTATATGGAGTACAAGGCGAAGTGAGTGCGGATCCCCTCCCTGCAGCCCTGGCAGGCTTTGTGGCATCAGTGTGCGGGCAGGGAATGAATATTGATCAAGGCAGCGGCAGTGCAGTATCACATGGGTGGAGAAAAGGGCAAAGCAGTTCAAGATGGGTGGCTTACCGGACCGTGCTGGGGATCATGTTGTGGTCCCCGTGTTTTTTTTTTCAAGTTGAAGTTCGGGTAGACTGGGTAGCAATGCCCCTACAGGAAACCTTGGGGGCCTTCGGACATTTTGTTCGCCCATCACCACTGGCCTCTTGTTTTATCTATCTCTTTTGAAACAACCATATGGCCATTGGGTGGTGAACGGGTAACTGATGCTGCTGCGGAATACCGGGCATCTAATCGAAAGCCCCCGTGTTACACACTATCCCATTTGTACATATTAGTAAGACAATCTCTCGATATCGATCCTACTTTGTAAATGTTGCTCACGCTGCTGGTGATCCCTTACAATGCTGAATGCTCTCGTGCTCGCTTGTACTACAGGGGCACCGTCTCGCAGCTGTGGACTATCGCGTCGCTTGGTGAGTGCAGGGGCAGGAGGGTAAACGCCTAAAACTGTGCATTGAAACAGCCCTGCCGCAACATGGCAACATCGTAAGGACCCACTCACTCTGTCAATTATTGCCCTTGGCAAGATTTTGACACCCTGGCAGCAGAGATTTCTGTTGTCTATTGGTCAAACGTAGTTACGATCTAGATCGTGCGAGGCTACACCGCAATATTTCGGTGGTGAACGTGCAGCAGCTGGTTCCAAGTTTGATTTCATTTGGTCGCTTGCTATGTGCTTGTAACTCCGTGGTGCAGGCAGGTACGCCTGAGCTGCCTTTCGATAACCTTTTGGACCGAGGAGGGTTTTCCAAGCCGTGAAGCTTTTTTTGACACACATGTGTATGTTATACGCGTACACATATTTGTACGTACATGCCTGGTAGCCTCTGTTGCATCGGTCGCATGTTGAACGCCGGCATTTTTTTCTCCTGTACGACCAGCTCGTGCAACACGCACAGACAGGACAGCTTTTTGCTCGCTGCCCCTGTGTGTGTTTCTCGCCTGATTCCGTACGCTCGCATGACGTTGCACCTTCTCTCGTGTCCATTCGTCCCGCAGTGATATCTAACGTCATTTGGGTCATGATGGCGAAGCGGTTCCGCAAGACAGGGAAAATCATGCCGTCTGCGCCGCTCGGCATCCTCGCGCTGTTGATGGCCTTCTTCTACGCTTACCAGATGGCGAAGACGACCAAGGCCAACTTCAAACCTGCCGCACAGAATGGCAGCGCAACTGATAAGAAGGAGTCTTGATGCTCTTTTTTTAACATTTTTTTTGTCTCGCGGTCTTTGTCGATGTATTGTAAGGTCGTTAGGGTGTTCGACGCGGTAGAACGATAACCTTGAGCGAGCTGACCGATGTGATTCCGACCAACCCACTTGTTGACACCGCCGGGAAGGTGAGGTGGGTTGAGTAGTTTACGCTGCCCGAAGGTGTTGGCCTATCCATGCCCATCGTTCGACGCGACGCTGGTCGTGCGATGGGCCAGGGTTGACTGGTATACAGAGCGGCAGCATGACGTTGCGCAGCAGTTGTGTAGTATGGTCTTGTGTTTCCTGCGCACTTGAAGAACCCTAGCGTAGAAGCTTATCTTGCTTTTTCCAAGGTACACATCTGTACGGCGGGAGTTTTTTCGTACGGATGTGCGGCCTAGGGCAGGAGGAGTGGAGGTGAGAAGTTGAATAGCTTCTGGCGACACGAAGGAGGCGGTTTATCGCGCTTATGGGTTTTTTGACTTACGAAGCTCTCTCCGTCGTTGTGGGAGCTGCCGGCCAGCACAGCGTTGACCGAAGATTTTTGAAACAGGGTATCCATAGTGAGCAACGGTGGGCGGTGAGGTCGTTTGCGCATCGACACTACTATGTATGTTGTCAATGTCATTCCCTGTTGTTTTGTTTTCCCTTTCGGGTGGTGTTTTTTCCCGTCATATTCGTCATGTAACAAGGGCTCACCTCGGCAATTCTCTAGCGGCGTATGGGCCTCAACATTCTCAGATGTGTTTGTGGGGGGGGTGATGGTGATAATTTATTTCTGTGTTCTTCTTCTCCCTAGAGGAGCCGGAGATTGCATGGTTGGTTAGTCTCCGACACGCCAGGAGTGTTTCCAACAGCTATGGTGTGTACGTACGTGTGGCTTACACGCCTTTTCTCGAAATTCAAAAATTGCGCATTGTGTAGATACCTGTGAGCGACCTGCAGCCGCCGTCGAACCCTTTTTGTATTTCTTTCCGTGGTCACGATGTGTGTAGATACGCGACCGGACGGTACCGAGGTCCTTGTATACGGGGAAGGCAATTGGGCCCACAGCTGCCACGGTGCTCTGCGGAATGCTGACCTGCGGTCGTCCATTAGCATCATGCACAGCAATAGATGACCAAGTCTTTTCCGTAAAAATGTAAAAATGGATATGCATGAGTTGCGCACAGACGCAGATACGCATCACATGCAGTTTTGCAGCACCAGGGTGCGGCCAAGAGATGAAATGATCTCGTGGGACATTGCATTTGGAATGAAAAATGCGTGCGGGATCGACCAATGATACCCTACACACAGCAATCTTTGAAACAAGTTTCTTCACCCACAAGCCGACAACCCCTTGGGACGCAAAATTTTTACAGGTTGCAGGGTTCTCTGGGAGCTGTATCACGCCACTGATTGGTCAAGTTTTCCCGAGAACCCGAGGTTTGAAATTTGGCAAGATTCAAGCCGAAACCATCCGCCGCGTCCGCAACCTCCGGCCGTTTGCCCTATCTGGATGGGTTTGCGTGAAGAAGAATAGTGGACGTGCATGGGCAGCGACCACCTCCCGCAGTTTCCCTAATACATTTCCCGCGTCTGGTGCCGCTCTCATTCAACGCAAGACACCAAAAGCAACACGGAAAGAGAGAGTGGAGACGTCCTTGTGCACTCTGTTCTGCACGCACAACACATGAGACCTCCGCCAAAGCGGGCCGGAGGCCGCCAGTCAAGAGGGCCGGCTCTCACTTCTGTTCTCCCTGCTTCCGATGGATCTCGGCGTGCAGTACCCAGTACCGGCGTGCCACCAGACGAGAGGCTGGACTCTCCGCCTGGTTCGGCGAATGGACCAGGTCACGGCAAGGTTGAGACAGGTGCTGGTGCCGCCGTCGAGGGCGAATCTACACCTAGCCCCGAGAGTGATCGCCACCGGCTCAGCTCCCAAGCAGCTGTACCACCAGCAGCGCCGGAGGCTTCGGCAGCCGATGAGCTGCAGCGACAAGATCGCCACCTCTCCAGCGAGGACTGCGTGTTTCGAGTCGGGGACACGGTCCTGGCCAGAACCGCGGGCAGGCCTGCCAGAGAGGCCACTGTTGTCGAGGCGGACCCCTCCGACGGTTCGCGCTTCAAGGTCGCTTTCAAGGACAAGCGTAAGAAGGGCGGCTGGCGGGACAAGAGCGAGCTGTCTTCTCTCCCTCGGCCCGCCGACGCTGGGTCTGCTGCAACCGCGAAGGTGCCGCTGGCGTCGAGTTCTGCCGCTGCTGCTCATGAAGCAAGACCGGCGCCGCCGCAGCACCAGGGAGATGACAGAAACGCAGAGGTCGATGCTACTGCTGCTGCTGCTGCTGCTGCTGCTGCTGCTGCACCGGGACCATCGCTAGCCGCCGACAGCGAGGCGACATCTAGCAAGCAGCAACCGCCCTGTTCAGAAGTTGTAGCAGCTGAATCATCGGGGGCACTGGCGGCTGTGGTGAATAATGAGGCACAGCGACAGGGTCACGACCTCCCGAGCATGGGCTGCTTGTTCCAAGTCGGGGATGCGGTGCTGGCGAGCACCGCCGGCAAGGCGGCGGTGTCTTCTTCGGAGGCCACCGTTGTCGAAGTGGATCCCTCGGGCGGCTCGCGGTTCAAGGTTGCTTTCAAAGACAAGCGCAAGAAGGGGGGCTGGCGGGACAAGAGCGAGCTGTCCACTGTTCGGTACACCGGCGCCGGATCTACCCCCGCGGGACAGCCTCCTTCAGAGCCTGCTTCCGGCGACGCTTGTGGCACGGGCGGCGGCGGTGGTGGTACCGTTGGTGCTGATCCTGCTGCCGGGCTACCACGGCCAGGAGCCAGTGATACCAGCTCAGCACCGGAATGTCCTTCAACAGCGGTCGAGGCCGAGCCGATGCCGCAAAGCGACCGACGGCGTAGCACAGCAGCGGTAGTCGGCGCTCATGAGTCTTCGGAGGCGTCTGCGCCGGTACCGGCACCGGCGTCGCCCCCGGGCCCCTTGTTTGGAGTCGGGGAGGCGGTGCTGGTGAGCACGGCCGGCAAGACGGCGGCGACAGCTTCGTTTGAGGCCACGGTTGTCGAGGTGGACCCCTCCGACTCCTCGCGGTTCAGGGTCGCCTTCAAGAACAAGCGCAAGCAAGGTGGCTGGCGGCACAGGAGCGAGCTGTCCGCTCTTATTCGCCGCACCGGCGCTAGATCTACCGCCACGCGACCAGCTTCTGGATCGGTCGGCAACGCCGGTGCTACCAGTGGCTCTTCTGCACGTCACGAGAGGAGTAGAGCCGGGGTGTTGGGGCAAGGAGGCCGTGCATCCGGGGCCCCGGCACTGGACGCTGCTTCCGAGGCGAGAGCGGGGGCGAAGCGCCCTCCGGGCCAATGCTTGCAGCGGTCGGCGTCAGAGGGGGAGAGGCCCGTCGACAAAGTCGGGAGTAGGAAAGCAACGGCCTCGGTGATGGATGCTACCGCCGTGGGGGAGGGCGGTGCCGTTTCGAGACCGCCGAAGCGAAAGCGATCCGCGGCTACTGCGGCGGCGGCTGCCATCACGGCAACTGCTGGCAACCGTGGTAGAGGAGGCAGCGGAAGCAGCGGCGGCGGTGGCGTCGAAGCTATCAATAAGAAACCTGTGAAGAAGGGGGGCCACGCCAAACGGGGGTCCGTTCCTACTGCTGGTGGTGCTGCCGCTGGGATCACAAAAAAGACGCCCCGCAAGAAGGGCTGGCAACGGCCGACGGTGGTGACTCCTGGGTCTGCGGAGGGACGCCCGGAGTCTGCACTCAGGTTGATCGGACATCTCTAGCGTGTCTGAGCGTGGTTAGTTGGACACCTTTTGTGTGTTGCGCGGCCTCGGAAATGGCTACCGCTACAAGCTCCAAACTCTTTTCTTTTGCTCAACACCGCTCGGAGCGCGCCTTTGCTGACCGAAGCCGACGGCCCCCTCCCGTCACCGTTTCATTATTTTCCCATTCTCCTCGTCTTCCCGTCTTCCCGTCGTCCCCGCCTCCGCCTCCGCCCCAACACAGGACTACCCACCCGACGGGGATCATCCGGCCGAGAAAGCAGTTTAAGGTCCAACAGGCCCGAGAAACGCCCAAGAACAGGACCGGCTCGAGCGACCCCACGTCTCGGGGAGCGACGACACCCCGTTCTTCCTTCTCGGCCGGCCGCGGCGGCAGCGCTCCCCGCCGCATGCTCTGCCAGCCGTCCCACTCCGTTCGAGACGCCAAGCGTGGAGGTTTTGAAGGTGGTGATGGCGGCGACCGCAGCAGTGGGGTAGGAGGAGGAGCAGGGGCTGACGACGAATCGGACGTGGTCCGGCGTGGGCGGCGCGCGCGGAGGCAGGTGCACCCGAGCCTGTCGGAGGACACGATGGCGGCCGCCAATGGCGGCATCGAGAGCGACTACGGCAGTGGTGCTGAGGGCAGCGGTGAAGACCGGGAGGGCGCTGGTGCTGGCGCAGGCTACGGAGACGCCCCTTTTCGCTTCCGCACGAGCGAGTTTGCGCCGTGGGGGGAGGGAGATAGGCCGCTAATCAAGGTTGGGGGTGCAGGGGCGACGAGGGGGGGGAGGGCGTCGTCATGTTTTGCATGCCTTAGCTGTTTGACCATTGGCCACGGGCGAGGGGGGGGTGGGGGCAGGTGGAGACAGCATTGATGGAGGCGAAGGTGTGGCGTGGAAAGAGTCGGAGTGTGGTCATTACCGCCGCCCCCGCATACATCCAACTGGCCACCTCTCTTTCCGATTGTTAATAGGTGCGACTGAGCCTGCTGGAAGGGGACGCCCCGCTGTCGGCCGAGCGCAGCGCTCTCGCGGTCGTGACGTTTGTGTTCGACCGCCACCGCTACTCGGCCGAGCAGCTGGCCAACGTCCTGACGGCCGAAGGCTTCCTGTGCTACCGTGAAGAGGGCACAAGGGTGAGCGATACTACAGAAAGAAGGTGACGGAACCGATCTTCGGTAGAAGGGAGGGTGAATTGCACCTTTCAGGGCTACTCGTTCTAAATAGAAAGAGCACAAGGAGCAGGTGCAGGACGTGTGTGTTCGCTGGCCCGTTGTGTACTTCATCCTTCGCGGCTTGTGTGCCTCCAAAAGACACGACATGACCAACACGCACGCACACTCATGGCGATGGCGCTTCAGGAGGACACCAGCGTTATTTTTTCTTCTTTCGTGAGAGAGGGGAGCGCCACGGAACACACACTGGGTAGGAGACAGTCATCACACTGCTTCTCCAGAAGAACATTGGGCGTACTATCAAAGGGCAACTGCTGATTGTGACGGTTACACTGAACGACAAATACTGTTTGACGAAAAGCTTTGGCACCGTTTTTTTTCCTTCCCTTTTTCCGAACCAATGGGCGTCCTCTTTGGGCTGCCTACTATGCGATACTGCTTCAAGCACTTGACATTTACTGGGGCGTTTGATTTGCTCACTTTGCTGCGTACGCGGGTTGTGCACGCAAACCACGCGGCGGCACGAACGGCGCGGCGCTCGTTCCCGGCACAGGTGTTCGTGCTCACGGAGAGCAAGGAAGCCAACCAGAAGGAGGCCCTGATGCGCGTGCGAGAGCTGGCGCTTTCGCGGTGCGGCGTGGAGGTGAAGGCGACCCCGTGGCTCAAGGGTCGGCCCGCCCTGAACGAGTTCCTGGACAACCACCGCGGCGTCCTCGACCTCATCATCCGCCACCGCTTGGCCTGCGGGATGTGGTGCGTTTACTTTAACTTTTTTTTTTTTGCCATGTTGTCTTTTTGGCGAGTTCCGTTCTCCCGTTTTCTGCATTTTTTTCTTGCCGTTCTGTTTTTGTCGTTTGGCGGGGTGGGTTGTGTTGTTGCAATAATTTTAGTCTTCTTGTTCTTGCGGTGTTTTTAGTCAATGACCTCGCCCTGCTCCGCAGTCTTTTTGAACAGTGACGGTTTATCTCCGCCTCAGCCCTTCTACAGGCTTGATCCACCCACGACAAGCGTCACCATCAACACCTGCAGCGTTCACAGCTGCCCGGTGTAGTGGCAACGACGACGAACCACCCCCATTGTTGCGTAACCGCTTGCTCATCGAAACACCGGATTCTCCCCCTCGATACCGACAGGTCTGAGGTTGGTGGGGTCTACTTCAACGCGCTGTTCTGCGGGCGGCGGTCGAAGCGCACCTTCAATGGCGTCCGCCTGCAGATCAACCTGGCCGTGTCGCACAACCGTGCCCTGGAGACCGGGGTCTGGGAGCTGTGGATGACGGTGGAACCCGTGGTGCACCGCTTCTCGCCCGTGGATTGGTGAGGGAAGTTCCGTCCGCAGGTGGCAGTAGTATCAGGTTTCGTCTCCAGCATTTTAGTCTTCGCCGGTTCTCGTATGTACTATCTTCAGGACGTATCTTAGCGTTGCCAACATTCTGTTTTCGAATCCTTCTGGTGAGATTCGTACTGATTCTTCGCGTGGAGCAAGGGCGTTGAGTGTGTGCCGAGTTTCTGTTTGGTGTTGTCTAAGGAATGCATGAATGGCTGTGTGTGTCGTGATCTCTCGGGGGCTGATTGGTGAGTATGACCCCATCGACAACCAAACCAGTTTTCGTTGGTGGTGGTGTTTCGCACTTGGAAGTTGTGGTTGAGCTTCTTGACCGCAAGATAACACCTTGGGCCGTTGTTAGAACTACGACAGACGTGAAGCGACAAAAGCACATACAATGATGGTGCCTGTTAGTTCGAGCAAGGAGTGCGTGCGTGTGCCTCGCGTCAGTAATTTTCTTGAGTCAACTGAAAATCAAGGAACCGACGAATATTCTCAGCTACATGCCGAGCAAGCTAGTCGACGCGAGCGGAAAGAAAGACACTGGCAAATAGGAAGGTTTACGTCACGTCGCTGCCTTCTCGTGAAGTGCTCGACCGTGCGTTGGAGGGAGCTTGGGTTCGATCGCAGCCGAGCCCCGTCGATCATTTCCGATTGGACAGGTTTTTGCAACCAGCCGATCGAAGTTTGGCAAGAGGTAGCGCACGAAATTACAGGCCAGGCAGGATCGTTTCGGAGGCGTCCTCATTTTTTTTTGTGCCGCGGTTGGGTGCGGCTTTGCGTCGCAGTGTCGCGGGGTTTGAACGCAGGGGTCCCACGGTACTTTGAAGAGAAGGTTATTCGGTGTTGGCAAGAGCTTCAACGAGCCCTGTAAGGATATTATTTGTCAGGGGGTCATTGTAAGAGTTCTCCCTCCGCGAGGCGCCGCCCCGCTTATTTCAGCCTGCCAATGAACAGCGAGGCACAAGCACGCATTGCTGTCCAGGACGGCAGTCGGCACGATCAGTAGGTCTTCGTCTCGAGGAAGGATTGCTACGAGTGCAAAACCTCACAACATTTGGCAGGACAGGAATCACACGTGTACTCAAGATACGAATGAATCCCCCCCCCCTTTCTCTCCGTTCCTCCTCCTACCGTATCTCGGAGCCACACGTTTGACACGTTCAAAGGATAACACGAGAGCTCCTTTGACCCATCCAATAGGAGGGATAAACTGAGACAAAACACGCTTGACGAACTCAACAAAGTTTATTCCTTTTCCTGACGAACCCAACACAGGTGGGCTCTCATGCAAGAGAAGGAGGACAAGGGGCTAGCAGATTTTTCCGGATCCAAATCGGACGAACTCGAGGAGCGGTTGCAGGTCGTCTGCCTACCAAAGCTGACCCGTGGGGTGGTGGACGACGTCAAGGAGGTATGGTAGGCCGGCCATGGTAGNGGGGGGGGGGGGGGGGGGGGGGGGGGGGGGGGATGAGAGATTTGTGTACTGACTACTGTGCAAGGTATGCGTATTGGTGGGGACGTGTCGCTCGGCAGCCAGGTTCAATTGACCGCCGTGTGTTGCTGCATCGCGGCGGTGGGGAGGAGACCACTCAGGCTTTGACGCTCCTCGTTTGAAAAGATTGATGCGACAAGCAGGGGGGGGGG